CGGTGATTTACCGAGTCGAAAGCCCTCCTGAAGTCCAGGTAGCACGTCTCAACTTTATGACCTCCATCCAACTTCCTTGTAACTTCGTCTAAGAAACAAAGAAGGTTGCTCAGACATGACCTCTTTTTGAAAAAGCCGTGCTGTGCAGGGCTAATCAACTTATGTTGAGAGAGAATTCCAAGCCCTTACACAGCACGCTTGTCAAACTTACTGGTCTGTAGTTGCCAGATTGCTTCCTATTTCCACCCTTGAGGATGGCAACTACTGTGGCTGTCGCCCAGTCCCTAGGTACTCTCCCAGCCCTAAGGGACTCCTGATAGAGTGCGGTTATCGCGGGGGCGAGCACTTCAGCCAGTGGCCTAATGATGGCCGGATGTAGCCCGTCGCTGCGGGCAGATTTGTTCACATTCAAGTTCTCCAAAACCTTGAGAACACAACTAGCTGAGACTTCCACATTACCCATTGGAGGGGTGTCTAAACACTCTCGTGGGACCGCACGCCCGTCGTCTATTTTAAAGACGGTTTTGAGTACCTCTTGAGCGTCTCACATTTTTCATAATCTGAGACAGACAGCCCACCTTCGGGGTTCTCCAAAGTACCTACCGATTACCTTAGTGCAGTCTTCGATTGCACATAGCTATAGTACCTCTTGGGTTCCTGGCGCGCTCTCATGGCGATTTTCACCTCAAAAGCCATTTTCGCCTGGTTTACTAGCTTGCTACCATAGCTTCTCGCTTTCTTATATTGTAGCTATCGATCAGGCCCTCGTGTGAGAACGAATGCCTTCCACCTACGAGCCCTTTCCCCTATGGCACGTTTAATGGCCGGCTACCACCACTGCGGTTTGAGGGGATTACCCTGATGCTGCGAGGGGGCATGCCTCTCCTTCAGCTCTATTAGCTGGTCGCGGATGTTCACCCATCGTTGATCCACGGACACTTCTGTTATGTTGCTCCGAGATTTGTTTATCGCTAACCAGAACGAGCAAAGGATCATTTGATTGAACGCATACAGACGAGGTCTTTTTCGTTTCGCTCGGACCAGGACAATCGCGTTTTAGTCGTTACAATATATATATAATATAAAATAGAAACGTCACTGTCGAAAACGCTCCGGTGTCTCAAACAGAGGGACATAATAGACACTGCCACATTTGATCAACTCCGACCAACAGGAACGACGTTCCCGAGACTTTATGGCTTACCGAAGATAAATAAAAATGGAGTGCTTCTCCGGCCAATTTTAGACATATGTAACTCCCGTTGTCATGCCTTGGATAAGTGGCTGGTAGCATACTGGAACCCGTGCGAGCAAAACTCGCCAATCACACATTAAATGATTCCTACGACTTAGTGGCTAGTATTAACGACACTAACATAAACGGAATACGCATTTTATCACTCGACTTCAGTTCACTCTTCACTAACGTTCTCATTGATGAAACTATTGAATACATATGTGACTACATACAAAGTAATAATTGTGAAGTTGGAATGCCAGTTGGTGATCTCAAACAATTACTATACTTTTGCACACATAATGTACAATTCAAATTCAATGGCGAAGTGTATCACCAAATAGATGGAGTAGCAATGGGATCTCCTCTGGGTCCATTGTTCGCTGATATCTTTATGGCAAACGAACAGTTGATCGTTGCACATTTTACAAACGCTATGTGAATGCCATCTAGTGCTTTGTCAATGAGAGTGTGCATCTGTCAAAACTTTTGAAAGTATTTAATTTAGTTCATCCAAACATTAGGTTTACTCTAGAGAAAGAAGAGAATGAGCAGCTTGCAGTTCTGGACGTTCTACTAAGCCGTCGATCAGATGGACATATCCAACACGCCATACACAGGAAGCCATCGTGGAACAATCAGTTTATCCATTTCAAAAGCTATGTGCCTTTGGAACGGAAAAGAAACCGGATTCATTGCATCGATACCAGGGTGCGAAGAATATGTACGGACGATACCATTGATGCAGAATTAGGGTTTATTCGAGATGTTTTCCTTCAAAGCGGATACCCCGTACGATTTGTGGACAACATTCTGGGTCGTCATCGGTTGTCAAATAAGACGATTACTGCGGAGAAGAAACCGGTTAACATATCGCTACCTTTCAAGGGTAAGATGACTGCCAATATGATGACACGTAAGCTCTGTATAGGTGTAGAAAAAGCATTTCCCGCGGCTAAACTGCGTATTATGTCCATCTCCAGGCCATTTCTACACGTTCAACTCAAGGATAAATTGATTGTTTCTGCCGTCTCTTTCTGTGTATACCTATTTACCTGTTCCTGTCCGGCAAGGCACATTGGCCGCATTAGCAGACGTTTATCTGAGCGAGTCCGTGAGCATCACCCGGCATGGTTGAACAGTGGAGTAATTAGGGCCATCAATAGCTCAATCGTTTCACACCTAGTGGAATCAAACCACGTAATTAATGTGGCCGAGGCGTTTCGACCCCTCTACTTGGTTCACACCCGCCGATCTAAGAGGATTAGAAGTCGCGTTTTGGCCATAGCGGAAGCGATCGGAATCCACATACATACCCCCTATGCTCCCAAAAACACTTCGTAAGAACACTCGGTCTTCCATGGTCAACACCACACACGACACAGCCATCCCCCACCCACCCCTAATAACCCAGACAAGTGCGCATGTGTAAAGATCAAACTGTGAGAGACATCCGGTCATGGGACTGGAATGTTGATCATCTCTATCCAACTTGTCTCGATCTCTCCCCCCTGCCAAACAGTTTGATATCAATTGTGATGTATTGGCCTGTAGAAGAATCACCGCAAACGAGCTTGTTCGCTACCTTGTGTTTCCTCATAAAAGACTCAACACAGACAAAAATAGAACCGTAACAGTAATTTCGTAAATATACCCAAATCGAGCAAACTCAAAATATTTGCTAAAAGTAAAGTAATTACACCCCGCGTAGAGCAAAATATATATAAATCGAGAAAAATAAAACACGGATGGTTATTAAAAACGAAAATTCGTTAACATGTACTAACAACCAGAAAATGGAACGGGATCACCAGTTTAGAGATGAGGATGCAATATCACCACCTGCGACAGCGATCCGATCTCTAATTCTCCCGTGCTTCTCGATCACCCAGTATGAATCAGGAAGAACAACCGGTTAGGCAAGAGAAAGTATATTGTTCCCCTGAAAGTACTGGAGTTTGGCCTGATTACGCTTGAGAGTATCTGAAAGCGAAAATGCTTAGACAGCTAAGGTGCAGCACTGAACTCACGCACCGTTTAAAATGAAGTTACTTCACCGGAGATGGCACTGACTTAAACAAAGATTAAAGACTTAACTGAAGAAGCGGTCTCGGGATATCGGAGATCCTGGCGGAATCTATGCTACAAAGGAGAAGGATGCACGAGCGGATGCTCCAAGCAACCAATGCCTGCAACCATGCGAAAGCATACATGTGGAACAGGCAGACCAAAGGTGGTGACAACTGTCGAGAATGTTACACTGTCTGTCTCAAGCCACTACCGACCATCACAAAGATTTCCACCGCATTTCAATCATCGAGAATAGCCGTGATTTATTTGGCAGAGTGTATTTTGTGTTAATGAAGACGGAATCAAAAATCAAATACCACTATAAGCATAAACAATGTCCAAATGTTCTTTATTTGGTGAGATTCAGAAATGATCATGATGTTGGTGATGATGAAAACGAGGTTCGCCATGGTAGTTTTACTGTAGTTTGCCAATTAGGACTAGCGAAAGCTGGTCAGCGGTCTCGTAGGAGAGGAATCTGGTTCCCAAATTGCATAATCCTCACCAAAGTAAGTCAATTCATCATACGGATCCGTCAGAGTCATGCAAGGGATATCCTTCGGTGCAGGGGGCAGGGGCTCCGCTTTGGGTGCAGCAAAACGAATACGGCTTCCTGTCTGAATCGGCGGTGCAGCATAACGAACCGCTTCCGGTCCATCGGAATCATTTGAGGGAGTTTTCGGCAAACTAGTCCGCAACTCATTGACATTTCTCGGGATATTTGCAGATAATCGAAGGCTTCCTCCATGACCGACGGAGTTTTCATACTTGTGACCGTACGGTGGCATATATAGGGAACTGCTGCGTTGAGCTGGTATAGGTCCAAGGTCGTAGCTGGCATTAGTCCAAAGTGAACTGAGGCAAGCCAAATATAAAAAACACAAATATTATCAAATTAACGGTGGCAATGTATGAAAAAGTATGCGCAGGTTTAGAAAGAGACAAATTACAAGAATTATTTCGCGGAGTTAGCTCATCGTTAGTGCCGCCCACCAAGACACACACACACACGAATAACCCACTACGAAAAGTTGATAAATATTAAAAGCCGAATTTTACTACTCCTGAGTAGCAAACATTAAAATTTCGTATTTTTTAAAATTAAGATTGCACTTTTACTAGTCTGTAGAACGACGACAAGTAGTCTGAAACATTCAGCCGAATTGACTGCATTTGAGAACTCAAAGGGAACGATATTGGCACAGATGTGGATTCTCACGAGAAGCAAGGAATCGAAAAAAAATAGAAGAATATTCTTCCGTAACAGCTGCAGTGGTGCGTATATTCCTTTGTGTCGATGATGTTAACACTTCATGGTAGCCAAATGTAATCTGCTTGTTTAACTGCACAAGGTCAACTTCAACATGTACTTCTTGGTACTGAACAATTGATTATTGAGAGTTGGATGAAATATATCTTAAGCTGGTATAGTAACTCTTTGACTAAAGTGACCAAACCACTTCCATCTTTCGACGTATTCCTAGCTGCTGTAAAATATGCTAATCCCTGCTAATACAATGTAGTAATTTTTGCTTCCAGTTTGCTTCAGAATTTATATTTTGCGCTCCTAGTTCGTTCCGAAATTCGTACTTTACAAATGACTCGAAAGAATCCAAAGAATAAGGTTTGAGCCTTTGAAAATATCATACAAATGCAGACCTGTAAAGTTATGTTATATATATTATGTATATATTATACTATGCCTCTTCCATGTATACATGGATCAACATCACTCTGTTTGATATAAAGTTATATATGAATCTTCAGTGATTAGAGAAGACAATCTGTATTCATATTTGTTTAACAGTGTTGCAATCAATGTTTCTGCTTTTGGAGTCTAGAGTTCACTTATTGTCACACTAAGGGTCAGAATATATTAGAAAACAAACAGAAAATTCTCTCCCCCTTTGCATATCTAGAATGGAACGTAAAAGTCTGATTATTGATGAGCGGAAAGAGAGAAGTAGCGGTTAAAACGAAGAGTGGTTTGATAGTCGTGCTGGTGGACCATAATAATGAAGTGAATGAAGTTTATTTCAGTGCCACATCGTTGTGGTCCTAAATTCCTTGAACTCAGTAAGAAACCCGTTGAATGGTCACTTTTGCCAAATGGTCATTTTATAAAATATTTTTATCATCGAATGTTGGCAGGAAACGGAAAGATTATATTACTACGTATGCTTTCCACTCAAGTAACTACTTTTAACCGACTGCTTTCAAATTAATTTGCTAAAAATCCACAACCTTTGCCACAACTGGCTTTTGGTCTGCTCAGCTCTTAGTTAACTGCATCTACTCACCTGCAAACATGTTGTACAACTCGATAGAAGAAAATAAAAAATTGAATGATAGTAACATGAAAGTAAGTTGTACTCATATCCATTCATTCTGAATCCACGTGTTTACGGTGAATCGCACATAGAACATGTTCGGTGAATAAAATTATCAAGAATTCTTGATAATATTGGTATTATATTGGTATCGGATAGGCCTTGAGTAGTTGAATGATTAATCGATAGAAGCAAACCGGTAGGTTCAAATATGGGTGTAGCAGTTAAATGGGAGATATGGAACACGTAGATCATAAATTAGCCAAGCAGATATACTAGGAGTATAGTGGGGAGTGGGAAAGAAAATTGAAGGATAAAAAGGAGGTTCGTTTCGCGGGAGACGGGAAAAACGCTCAATGTGCAAATTTGCGTTGTATTCGCTAAATTATGCAAGGAAAGTTTAGCGAAGCGGAACGCAATATGTTGCGCGTTATATTCGCGTTTTGGCTGGTAGGGAAGGTAGCCGTATATTGAAGAAGTTTATTCACGATAAAGCGCTACTCTCATTGTTGTACATGTTTTTAAGTTCCTGTAAACTATATTAATTGTACTACATTTTTAGGCCTGTTTTACGACGGTTTATATTGGTATGGGATAGGCCTTAAGTGATCGAACGATTAATGGATAGAAGCAAACCGGTAGGTTCTAATGTAGGCGGAGCAGTTAAGTGGGAGGTATGGGGCGTATGTTGATCATAAATAAGCGAAGTAGGTATATTAGGAGTATAGTGGGGAGTGTAAAAGAGGGAAAAGAAATTAAAGGTTAAAAGAGGTTCGTTTCGTGGTTGACGGAAAAAACCCTCAAAGTGCCTGTTGCAAACTCGTATTGTATTCGTGAAGTTTTGCGTGAAAATTTTCGCGAAGCAGAACGCAAAACATTGCTCGTTATATTCGCGTTTTTGCTGGCAGGGACAGTTAGTAAATGAACAATCACACAATCCAAAGAGAGGGTTAACGTGACAGAAGAAAGCGAGAATCACCGATACAATTATAAATAAAGAAATAAACAATTTTTTTGCTTTTTTCGTTCATTAGTTATAGAAATATACAATAAAGGTTCAGAAGGGGTGCCTGAGAAATACTGACAATGGGAATATAGGCGGCGGTGTTCAGATTCGAACTCAGGATATCCGGATGGTTATTTCGATGACCTTATCACCCTCTCATCACCGTTCGAAGGCGGTAACAATGGACATGCATTAAACTGTCGTATCGTTAGGAACTCAACGCAAAATACGCCAATGCTCTTATTTCTATTTGAAAGCGAGTAAATACACTACACACACATTCTAGCTCAGTTAAATTTCAAACCAAAAGACTGATCACCTAATTCCCGATGTACACAAGTAGTTTCTATCAATTTCTTAAACTTAATCGATATTACTGTGGTGTTGATCAGCGCTTCTGTACAACAACAAATAAGCACTTTCAGGTTTCGGTTGTGCACTGGATCGCGAAAGGTTGATTGGATTAAAAAATTGTGACAGCATTACTTTTCTGTTATGCAAAATCAATCCCCGCAGTAAAGTAACGTCTCATTTTGTGAATAAGCGAGAATTTTCAAACCTTTCAAGTAGTAAATAAATCCGAAAACCATGTAATTGATGATAGTGAATTAGGAACATACAGACGGACAAGTGGTTGCTTCGCTAGTCATTGAGATGTACTGAATGGGTTTTAACCAAATGACAGCAGTTCATAAAACTGTAGTCCATTAGGGGAAAACTGTTATTGTGAGATACTGCTGTCTTGTGAGTAGTACGCAACATAGTTAGTGACTACTTTCGATGACCAAAAATTAAGAAGACCACCGAGGGCAAATTGCTGTACCTCAGAGAATAACTATCGATTGCGACATTCAGTACCCGTCGTGCGACCAAGAAATGCGGTGGTATGTTTCAGATGAGATTTTCTGTGTTATGCACGCCGAACTACTGATGTCCCATATGTTGTCTTCAATAATCCAGTATCTTCAACCAGCTCCGCCTTGTGTAATTATAACACTGTGATGCGCTGAAAGTGGGTTCAGTAGGTGTCCAGAGAAACTCCAATGACTGTCATATATGAGATCATATAATAACAATACAGTTCATTAAGTAGAGTACTAGTTTCACTTGTTCGGATGAGTCACATGATCTCGTTAGCTCTCAAAGTTTCGATATACCTTTTGTTTCCCGTAATAGCTATCTAATTCAGTTCAATTATCCCTGAAAAGTTGTAGACAATTCGTATTTCGCGAGCTCATAGAAAGCTCAGTTATCTAAACTAATCAAGCGTTTCCTCGAATTTGGTTAAATGAAAGCGTTGGTAAAACAAACCCGACATCTAATTTTGCGTGGGCTAAACAAATACGTTAGGCAGTGTTGTACGTTCTGCTTGTTACGAAAACTACGCTTGCGCACCCGGTACAGCGTTGCGTATAAATTTGAGTCAAATTTCGGTAGATTTTGCAATCTATATGCACCCTTGACGTGTGCAGGGGCAATCTTAACAGACAAAAAGTGCCACATATGTGTACCCACATGTGTGGATACAATACACTGTTCTTTTCTCGATCACCTCAGCCTTAGAACGAAAATTCACTCAAAACAGGTATACTATGCATTCGTTTCTCCTACCAGCCAGCGAAATTCAGCCGACCTCACAAATCGGGACTGCAAATAACGTTGTCTGTTTTCCTGTCACTGTTTCAAAACGCCCTCTCCCCCCGGTCAAAGATGACCACTGTTCCGTGAATGATTCGTACCATCTGTTAACGGACCGGCGAACGGTGAAGAGGTAGGGTTAACGGAACTCGGTTGTTTTCCACACTTAGGTGTTATTCCGTTCAAGGGTTGATGCCATCTCAGTCAATGAATCGAAAACCGAACTCTAATACGACACATTAACCAATAGTTTGAATTTAAATTGCGACAAAAATGCTTTGGACTGATTTGTTTAAAATTTGACGATTAAAGGGGTTGGATAAGGGTAAATGATGTCATTGATGCAGTTACACCATTTTCGCATATTAAAATTCAGGCCCGTTTGTGAAAGGTAATTTGAGTTCTGTTGATTTCCTGTTCCTCCAATGACTCACCAAAACTTACTGTCTATCAGCCAGCCAGCCAGCCAGCCAGCCAGCCAG